AGGTGTACAATTAATCCGTTCCAGACACCCAAAAATATTCACAAAAAATACATTTTTTTCAAGATTAATTATAGTTTTACATACACAAAACAATGAGAACTAAATTAAGAACGTTTGAATCACTATTACATACCTTTATTAAAGACTGTTGTTGGCTTGTGGAAGGCAGGGAGGAAGAGTGAGGGAGGGCAGATTATTGTTTGGAGGGGGGATTACCCCTCCATAAGGACTTTAAGTAACAAGTCCCTCTCTGGGGTTACTTCCCTTCTTTATCTTTTAATGCCACTAGGACCAGCTTGAGAGTCACTGGACCCCTGTCACACAAAATAACTGTCCAGAGTGCTCTGTTTCTGATGTCTCTTTAAGATTTCCCTAAAATGGGACATCGTTTTATCACTGAACATGTTGTAGATATGGCTTGTTTCAGCTTGGTCAGGGTGATATTTCTCCACAAAATTTTGCCCCTCATTCCACTTTGCACAAATGTCCTTAATCACTGAAGAAGGCACATCCTTCCCTCTTTCTTCCTCCTCCTCCTCTGAAGCAAGTTCCTCAGCTTTGGTCTGTTGCTGTTCCAGTTGAAGGTGTTGCAGCTCTTCAGTGGTTAGCTGTTCCCTGTGGTCCTCCACCAACTATTCCACATACTTGCCACTCACATCCAACCCCATGGACTTCCCCAATGCCACAATAGATTCCGCAACAGGCAGAGGGTCGACAGGTTCAGGGTCAGCCTCAAACCCTTTCAAAATCCTTCTTAAGGACACAGTCTGGCCACAATTGTCTCCAAGAAGAGTTAAAAGTCCTGGAAGTCACTCCCTGCCGAGCCTTACCCATAAGCCTTATGCAATGGAGGATACTGAAGGGGTTCCTCCAGAACTCTCTTAGAGTCAATTCTGTGTCCGAGGTCACTTCAAAGCTCTTTTGAAACATTGCTTCTGTGTAGAGATTTTTGAAGTTAGAAATGACCTGTTGGTCCATGGGCTGAATGAGAGGAGTGATGTTAGGAGGCAAGAACTTCACTGTTATAAAACGGAATTCCCTAGACAATTGGTCTACCAAGTTTGGAGGATGAGCAGGAGCATTGTCCATTACCAGGAGGCACTTGAGTGGCAATTTACTTTCCAGGAGGTATTTTTTCACACTCGGGCCAAACGCTTGATGGATCCAGTCAATGAAAAGTTGCCTCGTGACCCACATCACACACAATTTACTCTTGACGATATTATTTTTCTTGAACACACTGGGATTTTCAGTGATACACGAGTAAAGGCTTCACTTTGACATCCCCACTAGTGTTAGCACAGAACAAAAGAGTTAGCCAGTCTTTCATAGACTTGTGTCCTGGGAGTGCCTTTTGCTCCTGCGTGATGTAGGTCCTCTTGGGCATTTTCTTCCAAAACAGGCCTGTTTTGTCACAATTGAACACTTGTTTGGGTTGGAATTCTTCAGTCTGTACGTACCCTTTGAATTCCTGCACAAATTTTTCAGCTGCACGTTTGTCAGAACTTGCAGCCTCCCCATGCCTTACAACACTGTGTATGCCACTACACTTCTGAAATCTCTCAAACCAGCCTCTGCTGGCCTTAAATTCCCTAACATCATCACTAGTACCAGGCATTTTCTTTACGAGATCCACATGCAACTGCCTTGCCTTTTCACAAATGATCATTTCTCAAACACTATCTTCCCCTAAATGTGTTTCCCTGATCCACAACAACAACTACTTCTCCACATCTTCATTAGTTTGTGATCTCTTTTTCGTTAACAGGTTTACCCTTCGCCACATCAGCTTCCTTGATTTGTTCTTTCTTTGCCAGGATAGAAGTGATTGTTGATTTGTTTTTGCCATATATCCTGGCAAGTTCCAGGACCCGTACACCACCCTCATATTTTTCTATTACTTCCTTCTTAAATTCCATCATGTTTTTCACTTTCTTTACCAAAGGAACTTTACTAGGAACTTTCTTGGGGCCCATGGTGACTTATTTCACAGTTGTACTTAATAAAAACCACGAAAAACAATGGATTTTAAGGAAATGTTTGGATGAATGCGTGGAGTATATGCTCACTCGCTGACAGACAAAGGGAGACTGACTCACCAAAGCCCGGCATCCCAGCAGGAGAGGCAGGCTAATGCATCTAATATGGCCAATATACAAAGCAACGACCGAAATACAAAGCATATAATCCTAGCATATAATTTTAGGCATTGTGTATAGTACATTTTTATTATCAAGCACTAAACCTACTAGGTCACACAGCTGTGTATAGTACAGCATGAGTATGTACTTCATTCCATTCTAGTTTTAAATATGATGAGACAGGTTACAAATGGTGAGTTAGACAAATTTAAATAATTTACATAGGTTTGCCTTAGTTTTATGATGTGCATTTTATGGAGTACAACAGTATTTGCTGAATAAATTGACAACATAATCACATTTTTAACCCTTTCAGGGTTTCAGCCATACTAGTACGGCTTACGCGCCAGGGTTTTTGACGTACTAGTATGCCTAAATTCTAGCACCCTCAAATCTAGTGAAAGAAAGCTGGTAGGCCTATATATGAAAGAATGGGTCTATGTGGTCAGTGTGTGCAGTATAAAAAATAATCCTGCAGCACACAGTGCGTAATGAGAAAAAAAAACTTTGACCGTGTTTTGGGATTAAAACAGAGACTTTGTATTTTTGTATGGTATTTATTGTTGTATTCTAGTTTTCCTGGTCTCTTTGTATAGAATGGAAGACATATTACAGAAATTGAGATGATTTTGACTGATTTTACAATGAAAAGTACCTTAAAATTGAGCTCAAAGTAGCAGAAATGTTTGATTTTTACCAAATCATGCTAAGCGTCCAATACACGTCAACTGGTGAGTCTAATATTCTTTCACAAGTGTGCCGATATTATGTATACCATTTTTTACACTAATGCAGTAGTCTGCATAACAGTAAATCTTCTATTTTTTGTGAGAATAAAAATCCAAAGTGGAAAGAAAAAGAATGTAAGAGGGGCCTGGGGACATGACTAATGAACAGAGGAAATGTCATTTTAGTGCCAGGAGTGTCTTTCTTGTTTATTCTGGACCCTATTTGGAAATTGGCATCTTTGGAAATTTGTGCGAAAGTGGCAAAATTGCTAAATTCTGACCACTGTATTGGATAGTTGAAATCGATAAATGGGTGGTTTCTTGCACTCATTCGATAGAAAAAATTGAGTTCTAGCAAAATATTCATGACTTTTGTCAACTAGTCCAGTGGAATTGGCCGAAAATAGGGGGCAAAGTGGGCAAAATCGCTGATGCATGAACATCGTCGAGACCGCTAACTTCGCGAGAGCATAATTCCGTAAGTTTTCCATCAAATTTCATACTTTTGGTGTCATTATGATCGGGAAAAGATTCTCTATCTTTTCATATAAAATGTTTTTTTTTTTGAAATTTGGGCGACCCTGAGAACAAGTTTCTGAGAGGGCCTGTCGACCCTGAAAGGGTTAAGAGAATAGAGAGGTTAACAACTCCTTTTATCTAGTGTATAATACAGAGCAGTGCTGTGCATGAATTTATAGCATAAGGCCAAGATACATTATATGCCACTGTATAATTAACAACAATTTACTGTGTTAATATATTAATTCAGCATCTTGTTTTTTAACCCTTTCAGGGTTTCCGACCTACTAGTACGGCTTACGCACCAAGGTTATTGATGTACTAGTACGCCTAAATTCTAGCACCTTCAAATCTAGTGAGAGAAAGCTGGTAGGCCTACATATGAAAGAATGGGTCTATGTGGTCAGTGTGCACTGTATCAAAAAAATCCTGCAGCACACAGTGCATAATGAGAGAAAAAAAACTCCGACCGTGTTTTTGGTTTAAACCAACGACTTTGCAGTGTATTTTTGTATGGTATTTATGGTTGTATTCTAGTTTTCCTGGTCTCATTTTATAGAATGGAAGACATATTACAGAAATTGAGATGATTTTGACTGATTTTACAATGAAAAGTACCTTAAAATTGAGCTCAAAGTAGCAGAAATGTTTGATTTTTGCCAAAGTTCAAAAATAAACAAATCATACCAAGCGTCCAATACACGTCAACTGGTGAGTCTAATATTCTTTCACAAGTGCACTGATATTATTTATACCATTTCTACATCATTTCTACACTAATGCAGTAGTCTGCATAACAGTAAATTATCCATATTTTTGTGAGAATAAAAATTTAAAGTGGAAAGCAAAAGAAATGTAAGAGGAGCCTGGGGACGTGACTAATGAACAAAGAAAATGTTATTTTAGTGCCAGGAATGTCTGTCTTGCTTATTCTTGACCCTATTTGGAAATTGGCATCTTCTGAAATTGGTAAAATTGCCAATTTCTGACCACTTAATTGGATACTTGAAATCGATAAATGGGTGGTTTCTTGTACTTACTCGATAGAAAAAATGGAGTTCTAGCGAAACAGATATAATATTTGTTGACTAGTGCACTGAAATTGGCCGAAAATAGGGCTCAAATTGGGCGAAATCGCCGATGGGTAAACATCGTTGAGACCGCTAACTTCGCGAGAGCATAATTTCATAAGTTTTCCATCAAATTTCATGCTTTTGGTGTCATTATGATCAGGAAAAGATTATCATTTCATAAGAATTTTTTTTTTTTTTTTTTTTCTGAAAATTTTTTGACCCTGAGAATGAGGTTAGGAGAGGGCCTCTCAACCCTGAAAGGGCTAAGTTATAGTTGTGCTGCAATATTCTGTAAGCCTTGAGAATCAGTACAAGGTTAATAGTCATTATATTTGGTGAAAATAAAAGCATACCAAAGGAATTCTTTACTCATTTATTATTTTTCATATCCTGATTATTAGCTTTTAGTTTGTGGTCACATTTCAGTTAGAATTATCTGAATTGTGCTTCATAAATGAATGAATAATGTAATGTACAATAATTAGAAATGCATTTGTTTTAAATACTTTAACAATATTTGTATTTTGTGTACTTTGCAGAGAGGAGGCAAAGGAGATGTTTTACCATGCATACACTGCTTATATGGTGAGTGTTACTAGGTCATTAGTAAATATTGCTAATCATAATGAATATTTTGTGTGACAGTGTATACATGAACAGTTTAATTGTTTGTGGTACTGTAGGGAGTGAGTTTATACTTCATTGCATACTTATGTTGTATACATGGTTATATATTATAGTTTGATCCATATTTATGTTGAATACATGGTCATTGATAAAATAGCTTCCATATCATATTAAAACACTACCCTACTCTTGGGTTAAAGTTTCTGCAATTTTGTTTTTGTTTGGCAGGACAATGCATACCCAGCAGATGAGTTAATGCCTCTCAGTTGCAAACCAAGATGGAGAGAGGTGGAGCAATCCAGAGGAGACATAGACGAGACTTTAGGAAAGTAAGTACAATACTGTACTTGTACAGATTTTCTGGGAACTTACAGTACCTTAAGTGTTGACATTCTTTCAGATTTATTGTTTAAATGATTTGCTTGTCAGTTCCAGGGCTCATTACTCCAGCAGTCTGGTCCCAGACCAGTCAGGCTATTGGTGCCAGCCACATATGGTCCAGTGTGAGCACCACAGCCTTGCTGGTCAGGCTGCTGGCAGTTACCTATTCAAGATGTCTAGGAGTCTGTTGGTAATTCCCCACATAAGTGAAGGGAAAGTGTCTTTTTTCATTAACTTAAGTAGTGATAATGATTCATTGGGATTGGTTTTTACTAGTGCTTGTTATAAATTTTAATGAATTTGTTGTTTAAAAATATTCAGGTAGACCTAACATAATGTGGGAGTTACGCTTCTGAAATTGGCGGTTTATATAATTTCATGCTGTGAAAAAAAAAAAAAAAGGGGGTTACTTTCACAACATCTCAAAAAACCCCAGGCTTTTTTTTTTAACCCTTTCACTGTCGGTGCCGTAGTACTATGGCTTGCAAGCCAGTGTTGGTGCCGTAGTACTATGCCAAAATTCTAGCAGTTTGAAATCTAGCAGGAGAAAGCTGGTAAACCTACATGGGAGAGAATGGGTCTGTGTGGTCAGTGTGCGCAGTATAAAAAAAATTGGGGAGGCTGCAGTGCATTGTGGGAGTGCTAATTCAGTATGCCCTGTTCACCCATGCTTAGCGGTAAGGAATACCTCACTCCCTGGCAAAATGGGACTCTTCCTTTCCCAAGTGATAGCTCTAACACAGATTGAAGTGTCAGTGAAGATAATTCTCATGGTTTTGAGGAGTTTGTGATCAAACGCAATGGCCAGGTTACCAGAAATAGTGCTGAAAACCCAGACGATCATCAGCCTTCCTCCTCTGGTGCTGGGCCATCTCATTCGTGTTCACTTGTTCCGCAGCGAAAGAGGACACACACATTTTCCCATGTCTCAAAGAATAAGTAAGTTTATTCAGGTATACATAAATACAGTTAAACAGATTATCATACATAGCAGCATATGTGTAGATTACCTAGGATAACCCAAAAAAGTCAGACAAAGTGACTTATTTCCATGTGGGTCATGGGCAAGGTAGCGATGATGGTGGGGAAGGCAGTATGGGTTTGTGTAAATAACATAGCAGCATATGTGTAGATTACCTAGGATAACCCAAAAATGTCAGAGAAAGTGACTTATTTTCATGTGGGTGGTGGGGAAGACAGCATGGTTGGTGGGGACAACAACGTGGGTGGTGGGGAAGGTAGCGTGGGTTTGTGTAAACAGGTTTTGTAAACAATACAGTGGAACCTCTACAGTGGACCCCCACATAACGCTATTAATCCGTTCCTGAGAGCTCAATGTTATGAGAAATTATCGTGATGCGAATTAATTTTCCCCATAAGAAATAATGGAAATCAAATTAATCCGTGCAAGACACCCAAAAGTATGAAAAAAAAAAAATTTTACCACATGAAATATTAATTTTAATACACACAAAGTTAAGAAAACATGCACAGTTACATGACACTTACCTTTATTGAAGATGTGGTGATGATTGATGGGATGGGAGGAGGGGAGACTGGATGGTTTTAGTGTTTAGAAGGGGAATCCCCTTCCATTAGGACTTGAGGTGTCAAGTCCTTTTCTGGGGTTGCTTCCCTTCTTCTTTTAATGCCACTAGGACCAGCTTCAGTCACTGGACATCTGTCGCACAACATATCTGTCCATAGTGGCCTGTACCTCTCGTTCCTTTATGACTTTCCTAAAGTGTTTCACAACAGTGTCAGTGTAATAGTCACCAGCACGGCTTGCAATAGCTGTGTGAGGGTGATTTTCATCCATGAGAGATGCTATCGCCTGCTATCTGTTTTTCGTTTATCCACACCAATAACAGTCTCTCAACATCTTCTATCACTTGCGATCTCTGTTTCGAAAGCACAGTTAAACCTTTGGCAAGAACAGCTTCCTTGATTGCCGTTCTCTTGGACACAATAGTAGCGATGGTTGATTGGGGTTTACTATACAACCTGGCCAGCTCGGAGACACGCACTCCACTTTCATACTTAGCAATGATCTCTTTCTTCATCTCCATAGTAATTCTCACCCTTATTCCTGTAGGGTTGGCACTAGAAGCTTTCTTGGGGCCCATGGTCACTTATTTTTCAGGTGAAATCACTATAAAAAGGCTGTAATAATACGAAATGTTTCGATTGTATGCTTGAATGTTACCGCGGAGGCTGGCTTGTAAACAATGCCACTGGCAGAACAAGAGAGGCTGGCTCAGGCCGCATGGACGCGTCTCGGACGAATCGTGTTGAGTGAATTTTTTAGCGCTATGCGAGGCAAAATTTTAGCGATAAAATGTATCGCTATGCGGATTTAACGCTATGCGATGCCAACGTTATGCGGGGGTCCACTGTACTTGCGAGTTTAATCCGTTCCATGACCTTTCTCGCAACTGGATTTGCTCATTTGCAGAGTCAATTTTCCTCATTTAAATTAATTGAAATGCAATTAATCTGTTCCAGTGGTATTCTGTACTTTAATAATTTCGCTAATATCAACTCTATGGCTTATTTATATACAGTGGACCCCCACATACCGTACAATCTGCATACCGCTCGCTTTTTTCGCAAAAATTTTGCCTCGCATACCGCCCAAAAACCCGCTCACCGCTCTTCGTCCGAGACGCGTTCAATGTGCGCCCTTAGCCAGCCTCACATGTTCCGCTGGTGGCATTGTTTACCAGCCAGCCTCCCCGGTAACATCCAAGAATACAATCGGAACATTTTGTATTATTACAGTGTTCTTGGTGTTTTTTCTGGAAAATAAGTGACCATGGGCCCCAAGAAAGCTTCTAGTGCCAACCCTACAGCAATAAGGGTGAGAATTACTATAGAGATGAAGAAAAAGATCATTGATAAGTATGAAAGTGGAGTGCGTGTCTCCGAGCTGGCCAGGTTGTATAATAAACCCCAATCAACCATCGCTACTATTGGTGGTACAGCTGCTGCTGCTGCTGTACCACCGTCAGCTGCTGCTGTCATCGTTGCTGCGCTGTACGTCTGCTGCTGCTGTAGCATCGTCTGCTGCTGCTGCACCACCGTTTGCTGCTGCTGTAGCATCGTCTGCTGCTGCTGCTGCTGTACCACCGTCTGCTGCTGCTGTAGCATCGTCTGCTGCTGCTGCTGTAGCATCGTCTGCTGCTGCTGCTGCTGTAGCATCGTCTGCTGCTGCTGTAGCACTGTCAGCTGCTGCTGCTACTGCTGCTGTAGCACCGTTGTTGGTGTGGCTTATTGAGAATACCAAGAAACAATTAACCCCAGAGGATTTGCCACCCAGGATAACCCAAAAAAGTCAGTGTCATCTAACTTATTTCCATTGGGGTCCTTAATCTTGTCTCCCAGGATGCAACCCACACCAGTCGACTAACACCCAGGTGAACAGGGAAAAATGCCTGGAACTAGTGCTCATATTGGTGAATTTAAAGCCAGCAAAGGTTGGTTTGAGAGATTTAAGAATCGTAGTGGCATACACAGTGTGATAAGGCATGTTCTGGAAGAAAATGCCAAACAGGACCTACAGTACTCAGGAGGAAAAGGCACTCCCAGGACACAGTGTCTCATCAGTCATTGCTGCATCTTCAATAAGGTAAGTGTCATTTATTCTTCATTTAGTAGAGTAGTACATGCACAATATATATTGTGCATGTACTACTCTACTATTGTGCATGTATCCTTCTCTTTGTGTGTAGGAAAATGTATATTTCATGTGGTAAAATTTTTTTTTTCATACTTTTGGGTGTCTTGCACGGATTAATTTGATTTCCATTATTTCTTATGGGGAAAATTCATTCGCATACCGACCATTTCGCATAACAATCAGCCCTCTTGCACGGATTAAAGTCGCTGTGCGGGGGTCCACTGTACAGTGGACCCCCGCATAACGATATTAATCCGTTCATGAGAGCTCATTGTTATGCGAAATTATCGTTATGCGAATGAATTTTCCCCATAAGAAATAATGGAAATCAAATTAATCCGAGCAAGACACCCCAAAATATGAAAAAAAAAAAAACATTTTTACCACATGAAATATTAATTTTAATACACACAAACTGAAAAAGGCATGTACAGTTACATGACACTTACCTTTATTGAAGATCTGGTGATGATTGATGGGATGGGAGGAGGAGAGAGTCTTAGTGTTTAGAAGGGGAATCCCCTTCCATTAAGACTTGAGGTGTCAAGTCCTTTTCTGGGGTTACTTCCCTTCTTCTTTTAATGCCACTAGGACCAGCTTCAGAGTCACTGGACTTCTGTCACTCAACATATCTGTCCATAGTGGCCTGTACCTCTCGTTCCTTTATGACTTTCCTAAAGTGTTTCACAACATTGTCAGTGTAATAGCCACCAGCACGGCTTGCAATAGCTGTGTGAGGGTGATTTTCATCCATAAAGGTTTGCACTTTCAGCCACATTACACAGATTTCCTTAATCTTTGTAGTAGGCAACTTCTTCAATTTCTCTCTCCCCTCCTCCGAACCAGTTTCCTCAGGTCTGGCCTCTTGCTGTTGAAGTTGATCTAGCAGCTCATCAGTGGTTAGTTCTTCATTGTCCTCCTCCACCAACTCTTCCACATCATCCCCACTAACCTCCAACCCCAAGGACTTTCCCAATGCCACATTGGATTCCTCAACTGGCATACTCCTCTCAGGGTTAGCCTGAAACCCTTCAAAATCCCTTTGGTCTACACATTCTGGCCACAGTTTCTTCCAAGCAGAGTTCAAGGTCCTCTTAGTCACTCCCTCCCAAGCCTTACCTATAAGGTTTACACAATTGAGGATATTAAAGTGGTCTCTCCAAAACTCTCTTAGAGTCAGTTGAGTTTCTGAGGTCACTACATAGCACCTTTCAAACAGAGCTTTTGTGTACAGTTTTTTGAAGTTTGCAATAACCTGCTGGTCCATGG